GTCCGTACTGTAAAGTCTGGCGCTTCCATGGATGTTATGGTAGAATTCTATGGTGGATTTGCTCTTTAATTGTTTTTCATTGTGATGTACATGATTTGACCCGGTTTCGGTTCAATATCTGTAATTACTGGGTCTATTCAGGTGAAACAAAAACTGGCATAAAGTTCATTGTCTTCTCTGTTAAGATAAAGAACTAAATCTTTTCCATACTACCAAAACAACAATTATTTAATCACAAAGGCATAATCGTTGCCTGTTAAAAGAACTTAAAGGTGCATTATGTAACTTTTCTGGTGGAGTGTCACCACCTGCTTGTCTCCATGGAAATGTTTTTGCCAGAAATGTTCCAAAGTTGGGCAAAGTTAAAGGTCAGATCTGTGAAGTGGAGACACCCACGTTCAAAAATAGTTTAATGCCTTTCTGTGGAATATTCAAACAAAGCTACACCATCTTCATGGAGACAAGCAAGTGGCAGACCTCCACCAGAGAAGTTGCATAATGCAACTTTAAAGGATCTATGTGTGTTATAATGTTGTTTCTTCATCACAAACAGGCCTGGAGTTGTGTTTTGTTTCAATTGCACATGTTTAAGCTGAGTTCTTTCCTCAAACAGAATATACTCTATTCCACCATGTCATGTGGTGATACAGTAAGTGCTTCACTGTGTTTTTAAACTCCATACATCTTCACTAGAATTATTTGGATGATTTCAACCCTGGAATTGCCAATTTCCGCTGTAAAAGGTTTACCAGGCTGGCGTCACCTAGTGCCTCCGCTCAATTTCATTTCTCTCCAGCGACTAGGTCAAGAATCGGAATACACTAGACGGTTTGCAAGAACCCAGGAAGTTGTAGACTGAGCACTGGCCAATCATTGAAGAGCTGTGAAGTCATGACCTCAAACTCAAGCACCTGTCTGGGTCCCTTTTGTGGTACAGCACAACAGTAAACAAAGCGAGATGGATGTAGACGAAGTCATACATCCTGTGTTGACAACAATTCCTGAGATCAAGGATTTAAAGCCGGAGCAAAGAGAATGTTTGGTGAATTTCATCAAGGGGAATGACGTCACTGCCATTCTTCCTATGGAATTTGGCGCTTTACATACATTACAACCAAATAGCAGCGATTGGTTAAATAAAAAAAGTTCTCGCTTACTGTTGAGTGAACGAATCCTAATGGTGCGAGGTCAGACGGTTTGCAACTGATGAATCAGGCTAGTAAAAGGTAGCTGCTTACTTGAAAAATACCACTTCATGACATCACAAGGTGTAGCAGAGCATTTAGAGTTTTGGAGAGTTTTTGCAGACAGTCTAACAATGAAGGATTTCTCAAACATGTATGAATGAAACAAAACACAACTGCAGGTATGTTTTTGATAAGGCCTGCATTTTTATGGCATGACTACGGACCCAGCAAAATATAATTAGTTTCAACATGTATATTTTTCAAAGTTATATCAAAGTTCTCCATCTGAAATATGAAATCAAATTATCAATGTTATGAACCCATTGTTTGGCATGGGAATAACAGACCTGTTTTTGGAAACTAGGGCTTTCCTCTGCCCCAAAGTCCAGCTGCAAAACAACCAGCCGTGCAATTGTCCGGTCTACAATAGAGGCCCCGAAATATGGATTCTTGCAGGTTGATAATATTCTAGTCCGGGGTATCTGACTTCCACAAACAAATCCAGGAAAAGCCAATGTATAAGAAGTCTAATCTTCAAAATCTACTTAGTGCATATTCTACTGAGGTTGGAAATATGCTAAAAATGTCATTTTAAAGTGCCACATGTAGTTGTACAAAAACATTACATAACCACCAACCACGCTTTTTCAAGAGTATGACTTGATGATTATGCATATACAACCAGTGATGGGAACAATACTTTGAGAATGTATTTAGTTGTGGTTACGGAACACTGAATACTTGAATGAAAATGTAATTTGTAGCATACTCTGATGCATGGTCCAATCAGAGTACATAGAACAGAAGAACATAGAATACTTTTACACCAAGTTGCATTATCTTATAGTGAGAAAATGTGTCATTTAATAATATATACTTATACATATCATTGTTTTTGTTATGCATTATTTTATGTCTAAATAGATTACACATACATACGCTGAAAGAGCTATGTTTTCTAATACCGTGCAGGTCAAAGCCAAAATGACATGATAAAGTAGCACCATGTTCTTTCTGGTGGAGGGTCCATCAGATGCTTTTCTCCATGAAAATGTTAATTGTAATTGTTTCAGAGTATGGCATTAAATCTTTCTATAGTCATGGAGACCAAACCAAGACCAAGTTACATGTCAGATCTGTGGAGAGGCGATCCCACTCACAGTAACAAGTAAGTTTTTCTATATATTTATTTTCTGTATATGAGCTATAAAAATGTGGTGTCCACATGACAACGTTTTTTGGTCGAAACAGTGAAGTTTTTATTGGTTTTTGCCTTTCGTTCACACAGAGCCGGCATTTCAGGTGGGCGAAAACAGTGTTGTTTGGAAACGGGTTCCAGAGTGGAGAAATCTGAGAACACCGGCGTTGTGTTGTCGTGTGGATAAACAAACCGCAGCTTTTAGAAAACGATGAGCCCGTGTGTTTGTTGCGGAAGAGAAAGGACTTTAGGCGCATGAGCTCTTTGTAGTATTGTGTGTCCAGTGGCTCTGGCTGTATCCTGTTTATAGCACCACATACAGGTGTGGCATATGTATTACATCGTTTTCACTCAGTGCTTTGTTGTTGTCTGGACGTGAATATTTACTGATCCAACACGTGTGTGGACGCAAATTTTTTTCAACCAGCAAAAAAATAAATATCCAGGAGCGTTGCTGTGTGGATGTAGCCTAAATGTAAAGTAGATCTGTTCAGTGTCATATTATGAAACATTCCAGATAGAGTAATGACATCTCCATAGAAACAAGCAGATGACGGACCTTCCACCAGAAACGTTACACAATGAACCTTTAATTTAGAACTAACTTTTATTCTGACTAGCACCAAATTAACAAAACAACTGTACCAAAATACAGTTCCTCAAAATTAGAATTCAGAAAACATATTCTCAGTACGTGTTCAGTTACTTCCCAACACTGTATACGACCAACGAATGTCAAAGTTGAGGATAAATATTTTTTCAAGGCAGTCTCCATAAGCGCCTAAAGGGTCTCAGGGCTTTCCCCACTTCTGTTTGAGTAAGACTGAGAATGAGAAACAAAAGAGGAGTTTAGTGCAGTGTTTTGAGAAAGCATAGGGTCACCAGGCCTCAAGACCCATGTGTGCAACAGACGGAAGGAAGTAGCTGTACAAGATGTAAAGATAAGCTTATTTGTACTTCTGAAATATGAACTGATATACTGGAATCTCATTTATTTCAGATAATGTAGAGGTCTATAAGATGTTTTGTTATTTGGAAAGGAAATTATTTTACTTAAAGGGCCCATATTGTGCTATTTCCTTATCTGTTATAATGCTGTTTCCTCATCAAAAACAGACCGGGTGTTTTGTTTCATTCACACATGTTAAACATATTGTACAAGCCCTGCATATTTAAGTGGATTTCTTCTCTCAAACAGAAAACACACTGTTTCACCTTGTGACGTCATGTGGTAATACACACAGGAAGTGCTCCACTGTGTTTTTAAACTCCATGCACCTTGGCTAGAATCACTGGGATGATTTCAGTCCTGATGTCATGATGTCTACTGAACAGAAGGTAATTTGAAAACTACTGCTTCATGACATCACAGGGTGGAGCAGAACATTTTGATCTTTGGAGATGTAGACAAATTAATAAACCAGGATTACTCAGACATGTGTGAATGAAACAAAGCACAACTCCAGGTATGTTTTCGAGGAGGTAGCAACATTCTAGCATGTCTAAAAGCTCACAAGAGTCAATTGGATATAATATAGAAACTTGAAATTAGTGCAGTCTTTTTGATTCTATTGAGATTTTTCAACAAATCTTCTCAAAGGATCTTACAATTCTCAGTTTTCTCTCTAGCATTCTACATTATACCTTAAGCCAAAAACTGCCCTGGGGCAAACTGATAGAGTTGTGGCTTCCATTCTGTGCCACTGGACTCTCCGACCACCACCATTTACACAATCACACATTCACAAAGTAACACCAGAAACAGAGCTTGAATTACCAATATAAAAGTTGACGTCATTGACCTAACTTGTACATTGTAGCCTATATTTTCTATTGATTTCAGCTTGTTTTTTTCTTAAAACCGAACAAAGATATTGATACTTCCTTATCAGAGTTAACTGTCTTCAGAAGGACGTCATTAAATTCCTGCAACAATCCACAAGACTAGACATCCAAATAACTGACACACTAATGATCTTTTCCATTGCATTGTCTCCAGATATCTGCCTGTTTAGTCCATTATTTATTTAAAATCACTGTCTTTTCATCAACTCATAATACTTTTTTACTTTTGAGCTTCAGTGAATAAGTCAAAACAAATTAAAATGTCCAGACATGGTTTTCAAATCAGACCCAACAGTCGTCACATTGCATGACGTTATTTTACTAGTTTTGTCTTTCTTTGTAGTCTTTGAAGTAAAAATACAACATTAGTAACAGAGCTTGTGGTCAAATAGCTTTTTACTGGATCTGCTCAAGGATACATAACCACAGAAAGTTTTATTAGCCTATAATTAATGCTTACAACAATGTAGCCTAATATTAAAGGTGTAATTGCAATAATTAACATATTATTTCATTGTGTATGAATCTCTTGCCAATTATTCAAAATTTTTATTACATTTTTTAAGACCTCTTAAAAGCCTTTTGTGGTTCTACCTGTAGTTGATTCAGTGATTCTATTTTTGTAACCTGTTAGGTCGTTACACAATCAAAATATGTTGCCATCAGGTAGCTAAATAAGATTACAGTTTCAACACACCTCCATGTCCTAATGTGATAGAGGCGGAGAAGGCAGTGCGTGAAGCGAAAGGGAGGGGCCGAGTAGCGCCAAAAGTCTCGGTGCTGTCAGACCCTGGAGTCTCTTTGTGCACAGGCTCCGAGCAAAAGTTTGGACTTCGCTCCCTGCCTGCTCTTCACTTAAAGGTTTTTTTTTTTTTTTTTTTTTTTTCATTTTTGAGCAAAGAGACAAGAAAAACGTTTGACCATGCTGCTCAGTGTTTCCTCAAAAGAACAAGAGTCACACGCTCTGGAGTGGAGGTACTGGCGTTAAAACTTTTTGAAACTTCTCTTCAAGGACGCAGCGATGAATAACGAGACCATCCCGCGGCCGATGGTTCCCACTATCCCGTCCATCATGTTTATTTTCGGGGTGGTGGGGAACGTCATCGCCATCGTGGTGCTGTGTAAGACCCGGAGGGAGCAGAAGGAGACCACTTTCTACACTCTGGTGTGTGGACTGGCTGTAACGGACCTGTTGGGCACGCTTCTGGCCAGTCCTGTCACTATCGCCACTTATGTGAAGGGCATGTGGCCCGGAGGAGAGCCTCTGTGCCAGTACTTTGGCTTCACCATGCTGTTCTTCTCTCTGGCGGGGCTCAGCATCATCTGCGCCATGTCAGTGGAGCGTTACATCGCCATAAACCATGCTTACTTCTATAACGACTTCGTGGACCAGCGTCTGGCGGCGCTCACGCTGTTGGGCATTTACGTGTCCAACGCGTTGTTTTGCGCGCTGCCCAGCATGGGCTTCGGGCAGATCAAAATGCAGTACCCGAAGACCTGGTGCTTCCTGGAATGGAGGAGCAACCGCACCAGCGACGCCGCGTACTCCTTTACGTACGCCGGACTGAGCTCTGTGCTCATTATGGCCACTGTCATCTGTAACGTGCTGGTGTGCGTGGCTTTGATCCGCATGCACCGGCTCTACGTGCGCAGGATGTCTCTGGGCACGGATCCTCAGCGCAACGTGGACCCGCGCAGGAGAGCGCGTAGCTTCAGCCGTTTGGCCGGAGCAGAGATCCAGATGGTCATTTTGCTCATCGGCACATCGGTAGTCATTCTGGTCTGCTCCATTCCACTAGTGGTGAGTGTTTGCGCCTGTGGTCAGTTTTCATCTTTTACGCACGTTTTACGCACGGCTATTTGATGGATTATATGGAAGTTCTTATTTTGTATAGTCAGCATTAGCAACAGGTCATAGTTTTAACTTGTGCAGAAGAGCTTTATTGTATTGTAAGTACGTAATTATGAATAGTAGCAATGTTGTGAAATGCACACGTCTTTAACATAAGCCAACCATTTTGTTGGATTCAGATCTTCTACCATTTCAATAAAAATATTAACAAAACAAGTGTACATGCATTTCTTTGCCTTGTAATTGTCTTTTGTAATGCTTGAACCCCTTCTGAAATCTCACTGCTTTGTTTCCAGGCACAGGTGTTTCTGAACCAGCTCTACAAGACCCCGGTGGAGAAGCTTTTGGAGAAGAACCCAGATCTGAGAGCCATCCGCTTCGCCTCGTTCAACCCTATCCTGGACCCCTGGATCTACATCCTCCTGCGGAAGGCTGTGCTGCTGAAGCTCATAGAAAAAGTCAAGTGTCTGTTCTGTAAGATGGGAGCACGGGGCAGGCAGCAGGCACCCGGTAACTTCCACTGCATAGACTCACAGCACCAATCTTCACTTATATCCAGACAAGACTCTCATTCCGTGGTGTCCCAGGACTTAAGGGGAGCCACAACTTCCTCACAAACGTTCTTTCCACTGCCAGAGAGAACTGATCTACTTTCTGTCACTTTTCAAAAGTTAACGAAAGACTCACAAGCTTCGTTTTCTTCAGAGCAGAGCAGTGAAGAGGTAAAACTTCCCGCTCTACCCTGTACCAAAGACACAGCACTACAGGTGTCTCTAACAACTCAAACTGTGGAGGAAAAATCAATTTGAGCATTGTAAACTTATCTGAAAATCTGAAAAAGACTGAAAACAATTAGTAGGCACATACATTAACACAGCTGCAGAGGTGGGTGGATAAATGTGCACTAAGGCCCGTATTAGGAGAGTATTTGCACTTGGTGGTTACATTACAGTCCATTTACGTTTTCTGTCAACTAGTGTCGTCACGATATTAAAATTTCAAACTTGATTTCAATACTAAAGGATAGACTGAATACCCAATACCACAATAATAATAAAAACACTCTTTTTTTAAGTCGATATAATGTCATTTTCAACATTAAATAATAGTACTTTTTTTATATTACCATGTGGCCTTATATCTGTGTAATCCCTCAGTGGTCCAAGTAGGTTCCATAGTGGTCCATGGGCGTATACTAGTCTATGTGGTCTTATACTTGTTCTGATACAGCTCAAGACTATTCAGGAAAGGTTCATTTCTGTCCTGTTGATGTGACTTTATTAGTATCGATACTAGCTCAAATGAGTATCTACTTTTCGTACTACTTAGTATCGATTAGTATCTGAATTTCAATACGCTTCACAACCCTAGGGCGAACCACTATCACAACATGTACACGCACATTTGCTCCTGAATATCAGCTTTGGAATCATGTAAAAATGTTGAGAAAATTTTTATCAATATTGCCAAACTCTTGTACTACAATGACTACTTTTTTGGCCTGGTTAGATTCCAGCTTGGCTAGTCATAAATCTTGATCAAGAGCCAACAGAAGTATGTGAGAGCAGTTACTTAAGTCAGATGTGAAGTGAAACAAAATGAAACATTTTTCCATAGTATACATTTTTGCCAAAATTTCAAAACTATTCAATATGTGTGAGATGAGTTGTCACCCTTACAAAGCAGTTTACAAAAGAAGCTGACTACACCATGCAAGATTTAGATTCCAAACATGTGGCCACAATGCTACAACCTTTCAGTAATTCTAAAAAAAAAAAAAAATTGATACATACACCCGTCTTTAAAGAGCCCATATTTTCTGATCTACTTTTATATAATGTTGTTTCCTCATCACAAACATACGTGGAGTTGTGTTTTGTTCAATTCACACATGGTTAACACACAGACCTTGAGTATTTAAGTATACACCTTCCCTAGACTCATTTGGATGATTTTAGTCCTGGATTTGGCAATCTCTACTGAATCAAAGGCTAAAGGTAGCTTAAAGGTAGCTATTAACTTGAAACTCAAACGTGTGAATGAAACAAAACACAACTCCACTATGTTTTTGGTGAGATAACAGCATTATAACATGGCTTAAAGCTCACACGAGTCAATTTTGCGTAATATAGGACCTTTAAGTTTGCATCAGTAATAGCAAGAATACAATAGATGCAAGCAAGTAATAAGCACTGTCAACCATACTGAAATTTACATAATATTTTTTCAAATAACTGCCCATCTCTGTGTTGTGTGAATTAGTTTTGTCATAATGAAACTTGAAGCGTGTGTTGTTTTAGCACAGATCTACCTCATAAGTCACTGGACTCAGAGCAGATGTTGTTTTAAGCGGAGATGGCCCACTTCTCCTGTGTCAGTGATGGAAAAGCTATCATTTGTCCCCTCCGCTGTCGTCATGGAAACCTTACCGTAAAGCAGTTCAGGCTGGTGCAAAGCCAAGTTGAATGTGATCCGTGTGATTCAGGCCTGGTTTTGCTGAGTGTGGTCCCTTTTCTTTAACAGTGTGTATTGTGCAGTCACTTGAAGGACATTGTGTGGTGGATCAGTGACTAATGTTCATCGATAGAACAGCTCCGTTTTGTTCTTTAGCTCTGGAAAACTCTACAATGTCAGTTTAAATGGACATCAGCACCTGGATTACAGTAAAAGATCATAATAGAATTGGAAACTTCCACCACTACTGAGTCATGTGTCTTCATGTTTAGTATTAGAAGTGTATAAAAAGCCTTTATTTTAACAGTAATATGGCTGTTGATTCTTCTCTGTGAGAAGGTTGTAACTTCTGTCTGTTCGTCCACCTCTTGTTAGGCCTGTCACGATAACACGTTTTGATGTGAGATATATCGATAAGAAAATACAGATGATAAACAGTAATACTGAAAGTAATTACTGACATAACCCCACAGCAAATTTAAACTACTAAAAACTATTCTAAATATTCTAAATTGTTAGAAAATCATGAGCTGCAGTACATAAATAGCAGACACCTAAGTACTAAGTTTGATTTATTCAACCTTTTACAACTTAAATCTTATCACATAGCCAAAAAATAACCAGGAATTTCACAGTATTGCAAACAAAAATTACATAAGATAAATATTGACCTAAAAAATATTGTTTTATCTGTCATGTATTGAACCATAAATCGATATAGTAATTATCGTGACAGGCCAACCTATTGTCTGTAATGTTGATCAGATTTTTGATGTCCAACTTCCCCAATGAAAATACACTATGTACTGTATGGGCAGCTTGTATTGTGTCAGTTATTATAAATAGGACATTCTATGTTTAGGCAAAAACAGGAAGGATAGTCAGATATTTGCAATAGTCCACTTTCAACACTGTCGTTTGCACTGAAAACATTGACAGACAGGGTTACGAATGTGCAAACTTTTAGATGACTTTGCCAACAGTAATCTTCATTTCGTTAGCCTTAAATATTCTAACAATGTAACACTGCATTACATCCATTTTCCACCGAGTTTGTGCACTAATTACACAAGTAAATTTCTCAGTAACCGCCGCACACACAGTGACTTAGTGTCTGCAGATTTGTCTAAGCAGCTTTGGGAAAAGTTCAGTTAAAGCTGAACTTCACATTCTCTATTATTTTAAATCTTACACTATTTACTAATACTTTGCTACTTTGATCTGCTGTGTGTGTACAATAACAAAATAACCCCACACATCACCTTTAACCTTTGACCTATATATTCAAAACTCAGCACTTAGAGGAAGTTACTAACATGTGTCCAGTTTTCAGTCTTTTTTTTTTCTCTCTCATCGCTTACAGCTTCTTTAAAGGTGCACTGTGTAACGTTTTGGTTGAAGATCTGTCGCCAGCTTGTTTCTATGGATATGCTATTGCCTAAAATTTTCCACAGTATGACATTAAACAGCCCCACCTTACATTTATTAAATTAAGAGGTGGCTTTATAGTAAAACAAAACAAAAATATGAGGTTCTGAGTGGGGTCGCCTCTCCACAGATCTGACCTGTAACTTGGTCTGGTTTGGTTTCCATGAAAGTAGAAAGGTTTAATATCATACTGTGAAAAATTCCAGGCAAAGCAGTAACATCTCCATTGAGAAAAGCATTTGACGGACCGTCCATCAGAAATGTTACACAGTGCATCTTTAAAGACAAACTGAAGCGAGTGAAGCCAAACTGTTTGTATTCTTATAAACTAAAGAGTGACCCAAAAGATTGAATAAAATTATGACAGAAACTGGAGAGAGTCTGTGTCAGGAAGTGAACCTGGCTGAAGATATATTTACTGAAATAATAAATAGAGTCCAACGCAATTTGAAAAGTGACTTGGACAGGCTGCAGAGTACACTATAGAGGCCGGGTCAATGGACTTTCCAGACTTTTGGAAAAACAAACTTTAATTGAATTTAAGTGTGAGAAATGATGAGACACAGTAGCACAACACAGAGTGGAACAGGTCCCATGTTTTTCAGACACTTGAGTTGTTGAATTGTGGATAAAGCCAAAGGAGTGGCTGACATTTATGGAAAATCTAATCAGGTACAGGGTCAGGAGAAGCAAGAATGAGTCACACAAAAATAGGACAACCGCTTGATCCATTTTGCTTTTCTAAATTCAAGATACCCTCATTTGAATATAAAACCCAATAGACCCTTTAAAAATTGTAAACAAAAACATTTAAACAAACTAAATGAAGAATGGAGGCAACTGGAGGCAAAAGTGAAGTGGAACATAATGCGCTCTCAATGGAAAAACTGGGATTATCTTCAGAATATCACAAAATATGATAAATCAAAGGACATTTGGCAAATGAAAATCGCTCCAAAACATGTGAGTGATATCAAAGCCCAGTTTAAAAACATTTACAATAGTATTATACATTATTTGTTAACATAAGAAGACGAAAAAAAACATCCAGTTAAATCCACTACAGTTTGTCACATCTACAGATATATTATACATTTCATCAAAATGATACTTTTTGTGAAGCTGAAATACAACTTTGAGGTTAGAAATTTGTGTTTTTCCATCCTTCTTCATAGAGAAGCAAATTAACTAAAATGTTTTCATTGGAAATTCTAACTTGTTGTTTGTTTTAATGTTGTAAAACCATTATCATTTAGATAATTAGTTTATCATTGATCCAGTTGCCTTCTTTCCAGATCTTCCAGAATGCTTCTCATACTCTTGATCAATAATATACTTTTTACTTCCACCAATCCCAGAAACTAAAATATTTTTTACAAGATAAAGGCCCCCCATTTTCTGATCTATGTTATAATGTTTTTTCCTCATCATAAACATACCTGGATTTGTGTTTTGTTTCATTCACACACACGTTTAAATATACAAATTCTGCATATTTTGGCAGACAGAAGTTCTTCTCTCAAACCCTCTGTTGAAAAACAAAACACTCTGTTCCACCTTGTGATGTCATGTTGTAATACAGAAAGTGAATGTTTTAAAAATCCATACACATTCACTTGCATCATTTGGATAATTTCAGCCCTGAAATTGCCAGTTTCTACTGAACAAAAGGTAAAAGGAGCTGTTGAATTTGAAAACTAACGCTTCATGACATCACAACATAAAACAGAGCATTTTGAGCTTTGGAGATGTACACAGACTGATAACACAGGAGAGTCAAATGTGTGTGAATGAAACAAAACAGAACTCCAGGTATGTTTTTGATGAGGTAACATGCCAATGTGACTTAATGCTCACAAGAGTAATACCTGTAAGTAATACCTGGTTCTCTACTGTGTATCTTCTAAATGAAAGTAGTAACCACTTGTCACATCCACGTTACTCAATCAGCAGAGACTTGGACATTCACCAGAACAAGATGTGATTGTGTGTTATGCCTCTGCCTAATCTAATGTCTTAAGTAATGAACCACTATTAGCGCTAATGTGAACCACAACACTCAGCCACTGTTCAGTGATAGATTTGAACAATAAACAAGAGGATTTGTCCAAGAACAATTTCCTCATCCCATTAAAGAAGGGATAGGTTGTTTGGCTTAATTAAGAGACCACACGTTCACATTGTTTCTTAGAAAGTCATCCCCAGGAAACATCTGGTAAACACATTGCAACCAAATTATTTTAGGCACTGAAATCTGTGTACAAAGTATCTGCAGCAGTGACAGCATTGAGAGAGATAGACCTCCACTGAGGCATTGGCACTATCTCGCAATGGTCAAAATGTCAAACCAAAAATAGAAAGCCTTCTGCACTCTGTCTAACTTGAAAAAGTGAGCTTTATTTACAGTAGGGCAATGTTTCGGCAACTAGGCATTCATCAGGTAAATGGTTTGTGTGAGGCGGTGAAGCCATTTTAAATATTATTATGTATTATATTTATTATCATATTATTATATATTACTTTTAATATCATATTTAAAATGGTTTCACAGCCTCACACAAACCTGATGAAGGACCATTTGCTGAAACATTGCGCCGCTGTAAATAAAGCTAACTTTTTCAAGTTTTTCACAGAGTGTGGAAGTCTTTCTATTTTTGGTTTTGACAGCCATTACACTCGACGTGCAGAGCAACCTCTTATCTTAAAAATGTGAAACCAAAATTCTGATGTAGTGCATAACTATTATTCATGCACAAGAAAACATTAATGGTCCTATATTATGCTAAATTGACTCTTGTAAGCTTTAAAGGTTGTATGGAGGATTTTTTTTTGAGTTTCAAATTGTCAATGAAAGTTTAAAATACCCTTACAGTGATGCAGCAGCCTTGTAATTATGTTGACTAAAAAAAAAAAAACCTAGTGAGGGCAGATAAACATCAGCCAATAGATAAGGCTACCTCATTTTCTATTGGCTATTAGGGTGTCAATCAAACTCCCTACGTTTCTAGTGTAACTGACTCGCATGCACGCAGGGATTATGTGGTTTATGCAGCGGTTCTTAGAGCCTTTTTTAAACTGTAGCTTCCTCGCAGTTCGCTTGTTTGTTGAGGTGGTGGACGAGAATCCACGACCAGTTTGCCACAAAAGAAAGTCCGTTTTTGAGGTCGCTGAAAGAAGAAGAGAAGGAGAAAAGGAGCAAAGCCAAACACGTGATTCTTGGAGAACTCTTCCAGCGATTGCACGAATGAAGCAGACAAAGGGTCTAAAAACTGACGCACCGGTTGCTATATTATTTCTAGACAGGTCACTTCAGCAGTAAATCTGAACACGCACTGACTGTAAACAAGCATGGTTTTTAGAGTGAGGAGGCAGGAGGAGGTGTTTCTACTGAGGGAGCTGTGGAGGAGGAAGGTGGTGTCACGCATGCACAACATTTGAAAAAGTTCTGTCACTGTATTTCTTTTCCCTTTAAAAAATCCTCTATACAACCTTTAAGCCATGTTAGACTGTTGCCTCATTGAAACCAAATCTGTAGTAGTGTTTTGTTTCATTCACTTGTTTGTAATTAGTTTGTCTACGTCTCCAAAGCTCAAAATGCTCTTTTCTTCCTCGTAATGTCATGAAGAGGTAATTTTTCAAATTACATCTCACATCACAATCATTCATAGGTGGGTGAAGTGTCTTGCCCAAGGACACAACAACAGGTCGGGTCACTGCTGTCCCAATTCTCAGCTTCCATTATAAACAACCACAGAGCCTCATATATTTATTGTATATTTTTTATACGACCAAGAACAACAACTGACATAGATGATCGAGAGCTCACTGTGACTCTGTTAGACCCATTTGCCTTATCAGATGTTGGCGATCATGGATTTCAGATTTATGAACACTTTTGTTGATTCTTACCATAGCAATTAACATTTTAAAACAAATTATTTTATCTTCTGAATAATGGAAAGTTGTCAAAATGTCACAGATAACAGGAAACTGAAAACCAAGAATAGAGGAAGCTATCATCTCAACAGAGGGACGCCAATGTCAACACGACTGGTCACTCGCTCGTCTATTAAATTCCCCCCAAAATATACAGTGACTTTGTTCAAAGATTAAAGTGCAGCCATAGTTCCCAGAAAATAAAGTGCTAAATGCTAACTTTGATCTTCAGGGTCTAATAATATCAACACACTTCTTAAAAGCTTTGTCAGAAGAGCGAGATAAGATAAACTCATCACTGGGCACATACACTAAGTGTTTAAAGGTGCACTATTTTAGACCTGTCACGATAACAAATGTTGAAGCACGATACAGAAATATACTGCGATAAACCATAACTTTGAAACAACTTTATACCATTGACACAATAACAACAATGCAAAGTT